CTCTCCCTCGAACCCGGCCCATGGGCTACAGGATAGACTCACAGTAGAGGAAGCCGCGAATCCATAATTACTTGGAAGTCATCGACATCGGCGGGATCGCTGTTCTCAGCTCTTGCGACTTTCATCGTTCTTCAACCCCCCCGCGAAGACGCCCATACCGCTCTTCAAACGCTCCTCATCCACCTAGCCAATGATTCTGTACTACGCCGTACTTCTACACGATAGTACTACCTTGGCAACTAAGCCGTCAATATCGCGTTCACGCTTAGTCAATCCCTGTCCGGCCTTGATAAGTCGACCATCGGGGGCCTCGGCGAAGCCAAAGGATTGGAACGTATTGAACCTGCATCGACCTCATATACTCCTACTAGTAGCTCTGACGTAAGCTTACTGTCTATCAAAGTTGAAGTTGGACATATGCGTTGCTTCAACACGGCCGCCAGCGAAAGTCGTGTTTTTCCCAAAATGAATCCCTACCCCTGCTTCTCCTAAATATAACCGACCACTGCAAGCCGACTACACCCATCCCCAACCAGCTCACGTCGTGACTCCTTATCTTCCTTCTTCATGATCTCCATCGTGTGGGCGAGGTCTCGAGCCGTAGGGTTGGTCATCAACGCCTAATAGGACGACATAGCCCATCGCCGGTCCGTCGAGTGTCGTCTCTCACATTAGTTTTTGAGTCGACATCGATCCGTTGAGGCCCGAGCATACTGTCTATATTCACGTCAGGTGCCACCTAAGAGTATAATCGAGCAAAAACCCGCCCAGCCTATCCCTTACGTACCAACGACTGCATATGAGGCAGTTGTACTCGCACTGACTTCTTCCCTCCAGCCGTATCGCTGCCATTATCACTATCGTAGCCAGAGAGCATGAGAACAAGAGGTCACGAAGGAAAATGATGCTCTGTAAAGGAGATAGGACTTGGAATATTGAGGCAGTTGCTTTGCGCGCGCAACCAAATTTCTCACTATTGAGGCCTATTTCAAAAATCTCTTCAAAAAAGGGCTTATTGAGGTTCAAGAACATCTTTTAAAGAAGGGGCTCAGGAACCTCAACAGATTTCAGATTTTAGGCTTCTTTTAGGAGGACTCCTTGAAAGCTCATTTCGATCGACCCAGGATTCGAACCCAGGACCTACACGGCGAGAATAATTGAAAAACTCTCAATCCACGATTGCTATCCCACAAGCCAGAGGTTCCGCTTCACCAATCGAGTCTGTCTTAATCTATTAGAGAAGGTTTGACCCCCATTTGAGAGGCGCAAATCTTCGTTGAAGGTCCGGAATTTTCGCAGAGTCCTTTTCGCCAAGTTGGGAGCGGAGCGAAGTATGAAATGGTTCGTAAAACCGCAAGAAAACGCGTTACAACCCACTTCAACCTGCCCCCGGAGAGGTTCAGTTTCTTGAAGCGAAGAGTCCATGAGAATCAGATTTCTGAAAGGGGTTATGAGCTTCTTACTTCGGTGAAAAACACTTTGAAATAATCCCTTCAGGAAACTCAGAAATACGAGATGATATCTAACCGTTTCAGCCGGTGCCTTCAGCTGGTGTCCAAAATCACTATTTGTTGTCACTAAATTTAGTAACACCATTTCGCCCAGCTGATCGATATCCAATCCTGCGCTCCGTAAACAATGTTCTCAGTAACAACTCTAGGGTTGTGTTGCCGCACCGGGCTAGGGGTTTGCACTCGTATGAGAGGCTCGGGATAGTCCGTCCCGAGTTTGTAAGGCATGCTCAAGGTCTACGTCGTGGAGGATGTAAGTGGCTGTTCTACTTCAGGCCGACATGCTGCTCGAATGTCTTACTCTTGCTGTTAGTAACACAGTCTGTCTCCTTGTGTGTGTGAGCACTACTATAAGCTAAACGATCTTCTATGTACAGTAGAACCTAAGAGTATCAGACAATATACGACGTATCATTACGTTAGCATACTCGTGGATTATCTCTATAGAGCACCGAGGACGGAGTATTCTTCCGTGGATCCGAGTACCAGTCCGCTGAAAAGGTCGTCTCCTTTGAGCGTCCTTGCCGCTATCATGACTGACGTTTTCACCGTATGCCGTTTGTGATAATAATGAACTCCCTCGTGACAAGTACCCGTCCGACACTTGGGCTAGTCCGAATGGCGATGGCCCGTTCGCTCACTCGAGCTCTTTCGTCGCAGTCCGTTGGCACGCAGTGGGTGAAGGAAACCCTCAAGGAGGAACCTAAGAGGTACAAGTTGCTTCGGCCGGTGTCGATCAGGTGAAGTTTTGTATCTTAGTTCCAGTACTACCGAGACGGAGGCCAGCCGCTCTGCACAAGCTTCTAATAGTAGCGGCGGTGGCTCGTGGTTGACGGAAATGCTCAAGGAGAGCGAGGAGCGTGAAAAAAAGATGGAAAAGGACAAAGCCGCTGAACAGGGGTAAGTACGGTGTGCCGAGCTGGGGTCGGCTTTTATGCGGGAGACAAGTTGCTAATGCTCATTATTCGAGATGTCTGCGTTCTTCGAACTCTTTAATCTATATTACCGCTGCATACTGATACCGATAAGAAAAAAGCTCGCAGTGAAATCCAGTTTATTCTCTGAGTGTCGTCGAAAAACTCTTTTTTGACTAAATGGTAACCACTGGTTTTTTACTTGCTGGCTCGACTGCCTACACCGCTCGTGTTAGTGGGACACTCTTGAGCTTGCAATAATCACCTTGGTGGTAGGTCTTCAGCTCGGCTTTCTCATTTGGAGAACTTCCAAGAGGTCTATCAAAAGCTGCGGAGAAAGTCGTCGTAATGTGCCTGCTACGTTCTACACTCGTCATATCATTTTTCCTCAGTGACAGCGTACTCGACCACGGTGATGTCGCCCGTAAGGTTTACGAGTACAGTCACAAGAGAGCGGAAAAAGAGAGGGCTGAAAAGCAGAGGAAAGCGATGGAGAAGGTACAGCCGAAGAAGGACAAGAAATGAATCACCGATTTTCAAGCTGGGATTGTTTATTCATTGAGATTTTCTGTTGAGACTTGTATGTGCGACTCGTGTGATGCGAGTGTGGCGGGCTTGTGACGCGGGCTATTCCTCCGAGGGAATTTCAAAGACTGGAAGAGAAATGAGAGCACGGTCGGTCCGTGGGGACTGCTGAAATTTTGGTGACTGAATGATTCAGTCAGACTGACTCGGTTGTCTGCATATGCCAAAACAACTCACAATGACATATCCAAGAGGCATCCTCCCTTTGTGGTATTGTTGCATTATGTAGGTAAAGTATCCGTTTTAAAAAATAGAGATCCCAAATTGACTGTAACACAGGACATATTTGCGTAGTATTCTAGGTTCCTAACTTACAAATCAGGTCTCAGGAATCCTGAGACCGAATTCTCAATGAACACGTGGTTATCACGCTAGCACAAAGATACACAGTAGAAGAGAACAATGGCGAGAATCTTGAAGGCCAAAGCTGAGTCGATTCGCACAAGTACAGGTCACGTTGTAACCGTTACAAGCGACAGATCCACGGATGGTAGGATTATCCTACTAAGATATACACTTCATCCGGCACATGGTATCCCGCGCAATTTTTATCATCAATTGTCCATTGACAAGTGGACGTCTCAGCCTCCGAGACCGAATGTCTTTGCTGTCGCGTCATGATCGGGCGCCTACTCAACCCCAACCAGTAGCACCCTGGGGCACCCACCACCGAGCATCTCCCGTATTCGGAGTTTGCAAGAATCGTGTGAGGCCCGAATAACAGAAACAGTAGTAGCAGGTCAGTAACACTCCTGGGAAAGCAGGGGAAGAAGGAAAATGAAAGTGGCACGAAGGAGAAGATGGTGGCCGCGCCGAGTAGGCGGAATTACTGCTCAGGGCTCACTTTTGCCCCCCCCCCCCCCTAACTGATCCCAGTGCCTGATCGTGGCGTGGGAGTCACTGGCCAACGTTAGTCAGATCGAAACTGGGACTGACCTGCCATCACTCATTCATCCACTCTACGAGTGTGATCACCGAGAATGGCCCGACAGCGTTAGCCCCCCCCCCTTGTCTTTATTGCATGCCATAGCTTTTCTAGTGTCATTTGAAATATAACTACTGTAGTAGTTCAGTCGTCGTATATATTGGGGGTATGCCATACTCTAACCGTCAGAGTGCCGTTAGAGTCTAACGGTCCTCTCGGAGAGGACCTCCCCTATAACACTGGTGGTCTACAGTCTAGCCATCCGGAGCTCTCACGGTATCTTACCTTAACGAAGATAGATGTGGTATGTCTTCAAGCAACACATCGTTCGGAAACACGCCTTCTCGGATTCCCAGGCTATTCGGTGGAAGTTCCACCGGAGAACATATACTGAAGGCAAGACTGGCAGCACGGGGATGGTTAAGTGGTGGTCTAGTATTCCTGATCCGCAAGGACATTAGATATCGCATGGTTACATTCGGTTACTATCTGTAATATCCATGTCCGACCGGCAGTGTACTTAACGAACATCGACATACCATGTCATGCCGGAGAACTCTCATGAACTGAGCCGTATGACTACTCTCGAACTCCGAGTTGCTGCCCAACCACTACACTGGTCTCTGTGTACCCTGTCATGGCGAGGTTCACCCTGTCAGGGTGGACTGTACATCTTAGTCTACCGAAAAACTCAATCGCGTGAAATTGCATACATACAGCAATGCACAATTCCAAAAGCCTATCTCCAACTCCGAGTTGCTGCCCAACCACTACTCTGGTCTCTGTGTACACTGCCACGCGGAAGAGCTCTCGTGAACTGAGCCATTTCATGGCGAAATTGCGCTTACGGGTTATATAATGCCGTTATGGGAATGAAAAACAAACTAGCACAAACCTTACACATAACTCGTACAAAGTTTAGACAAAAACCGTAGTACGTGAAAGCAGCACGCATTCACATAGTGCTCGCCTATGACTAACATCACAGACTCCTTAGTCAATGAGGAGTCTGTGATGTTAGGTGACACTAAGGCTTAGTAGTGTCATGTTTCGCGCCATACCGACGCGCGCAACGTTCTCTACAAGCCTCGCAATGGACCAAATCTGACAAGGAATTCTGACAAGGAATCGCAATCACTGGAGTCGGCGATGAGATCACACAATTTGTATGTATGTTAAGGGGCGATACGCCACTAGGCCCGTAATGCCTGGCAACAGATCCTCACACACACTTTTGACCAGATAAGAACGATTATACACTTGCGCGAAAATATCTCAAAACGATTATTCGGGATAATCTCGCACACTTTAAAACGCTCATTATGAATCAGCTGGCTTAGATCTTGGGCTTTGCATAACGTATCCCATTGGATATAATTCTCTCAAACTACGACAAAGTTTTATCCTATTCTATTGCCCGCAGTGACACGGCGTGAGTCGCGATCGGTATCATTCAAGTTCATACGCAAATCCATGATATTTTCAAAACTATCGAGTTTTCTCATTCCTTACCTCCTCATGGACTGTCTCAGTTTGTAGTCGGGATATCTCGTTGTGAGCATCGCTATGTATAGTGAGACACTTAGACTGTCGTAGTATATCTAATTTCGACAACGAGCGGTATAATCACGTAAGATTGATCGTGTATGGAACCTAAGATATGCACTAAACAGTTTGATTGGCTTCATTATGGCTTGGGGTGATGATTTACCATTAGTATCATGGGACAAGACAGACGACCCGACTGTTGTCTTGGATCTCCCCTTCGATACCACTCCTTCCACAACTCCTCAAGAGCAGCCGCAACTAGCATCCCTGCCGGCTTCCCCTGACTGTGGTACTCTATCGACTTGTTCTTCCAATGATGTGGCCTGTGGTATGTCTTCTCCCCCCTTTAGTGCCCTCCCACCACTCAGTGATCTAGAGGCTCTCAATGGTCCCTTCGCTCAGCCTCTTGGTTTCTTAGGGTCCTCTACAGGCGTGGATTGTACTCTCGCCGACTCTATAGGGAAGTCAGCAGCAACAACCTCTCAAGAGCCAGGGCTTGATGCCTTAAGTCGAATAATAGCAGCTCGATGTGTCGACCCTCTTACTCTGCCTCGTGCAGCTGTTCAGGACTACGACCAGATGCAGCAAGGGCCGGCTCCAAAGAGGGCCAGACTAGCGGATACTGGTGCTGATCTTAGCGTCAATGGGCTTGCTACTCTCAGTGCTAGCACCAATCTAAGCACACTAACGCGTCCAACTCCCTCGGACCGTGGTCATGTCAGCCCTTATATGATGCTCAACTCGCTTCGTAAGAAGGAGTATGCTGCACCACCGGGTGTATGGAAAAATTCTGGTGGATACATTTCGACTGTTTATGTCAATAAGAGGCGTATTTATGGTCCTTTGCGAAAGACTCTGGCTGAGTCTGTGCGCGATAGGGAGGAAATGTTGATAGCCAAGGAGAGACATGCATCAGAAGAAGAGATCCGAGAGTTAGTTGCAGCACTCAAGGAGATCAATGGGGGAGGTTCACGTGGCTCTTCCAAGGGTCGAAGACATCGTAAAACGCAGAAGACTGGTAAGACCACCAACAGCTGTAGTGTCACAAGTACAACCAGTGGAGGCAGTAGTGGTACCAGTGCGGGAGGTCTTTTCCCTACTATTCCGGAACCGGAGGCTGGGCTGAGCGGAGCGGAGTTCCCGTCCTTAGCGGCTCGATTTCAGAATGAGAACTATTTTGGTGGGTTTTCTCCCGACTCGATTGGTTTCGGCCAATACTAACTCTTCTCTGTTTTCTGTGTATTTCTGTGCCACGTGTAGAGTGCCAATAAGCGCTGTTGTGCTGGCACTCCGCAGCAGCGGCAGAAGCATGAGCCTGTTCCTATAATGGTAATAACGCTCTGGCGTAATGATTGTATATTTCTTAATTTTTCTCCTCCTCTTCCTCGCCACTTCTACCAACTACGATGCTTGTTGCGCATCTTGTATTGGACACCGTTGTGTCACCACTGCTTTATCGTAAGGTTATCGAGTATCTTGCTTGAATAATCATAACATAATCATCCCATTTTTTGAGCTGTTTTTGGCAGCTGCTATTACTTCGACAAGTTGCCGCCTTTCTACTGTAAGTCTTGGCATCATCCAAGCGATGTGAAATGACACATACATTCCATCAAAAGCGGCAGTCGCGCGGAATCGCGTCTCTCGGGTAGCGTCCACATCGCTTACCTTATCCAGTGTATAGCGGGCCATTGTGTCGCCTATTTGTGCTTCATCGTTGGTTTCGATAATATAATTTCTGTCTATCCTTATATACAGTGACTATCAACATGCGGTACTCGTGTAGTGTTCATAGTAACCACAACGATTCAGTGTGTTCTTTTACAGGTTCCAAGGGGGGGAGTGTGTACCTGTCAATTTTCTAGACATGTGAAGTCATATTTTTATCCTAGCGTCGATTGTGTGTTGGCGATGTGTATGTTTTCCCCGGGTGTTAACAAGTAACCATGGTTGGTCTTGCTTCACTTCATATTGTTATCTTATTGATCATCATGTGGACCTGGTGATTGATTCGCTCGATAGTGGGTGTAATGAGGGTTCTCTATTTGCTGCATCCAATCTTGTTATATTCGTGTGATTACTCTACTTCCTATACGGCCACGGATATTCTATTCACGTGGCTCATTGGACGATTGTACCGTCTTGATAGTAATTGTAGTAGTAGTACCGATGTAGAGATAACTGTAGCTTGCTGTGATGTTGACTTTATCAATTGCCTCCTCCTCGCACTCTACCCTTCAGTTCTCCGAGCAGTGACCGTTCTTCTTCTCATCCTCCTCCTCCTATATGCCTTTGGATGGGTGGTCCCTCACCAAGTGATGATAGTAGTTCCTTTACTTGCCTATTCGGGCTCGATGACAGCTCTACTGCTGTCTTATTGCTTGAGGCGACGTTGATCGTTATAGGAGTCGGCCATGAAGGGCATTCTGCAGTAGGACACCAACACCGTGTTGACAATACGAAAGGCATAGTGTGAGGACGTAAATACACTCGTTGAACCTCATAGTTGCCGTCATCTGTCTCCTTGAGAGTGTCTCGAGATGTAACTTGGCTGTTTTCCAAAACTTGATACTCTATAGTCGAGTTGGGTGGTTCAATCGTGTCTACGTACTATGTCGTCATGAAGATGAACCTTCTGTTGAGGGTAGCTGTACTATCTATTGTCGTAAGTGCGTGCTTGCTGTACTGTTTCGATCTCCTTTGATCGGGCTCCTTCCTCATCTACTACTTGCTCAGTTCGTAGTCGTGTCGTTCAGCTGTCATTACACTACAAATGTCAGCACTTATCGGCACTAGTGAAAGCAACGATGTTAGAATCGAATACGACGCCGATATGGACTCCATAATAATGTTTGGAAGCCTATGCATGGCCGTAGCCACTATGGCCTTCGTTATATACGTAATCAACAACATAACACGATATACATTAGCGATACCCCAGTGTATGACCAGGTGCACTTGTCGAAAAACCAAGAGTACTCTATATACGATGAATTCCCTACCATAACCCAGCCACCGCTCCAGCACGATATGAATAGCCGAGCCAGCCGGCTCCTGGAAGGCTCATCGTCGATGATGCCATTTGCACACTGGCTAACCTCTTCCTCGGTACATCAACTCAACAGTATCGATCTGTTATGTACTTCCTTCAGACTAGCGGCTACATACCTGAAGATAACCTCGTTGAAGGAAACCCCAGTAGTGAGGCCAGATGTAGCCCCAGCACTACGGCTGTTCTTCAGTGATCCCTGATAGCTCCTCATGTTGCTCCGTATGCCTGTCGTCTTACCAGACTGATGATGTTGTTACTGTACTCAAATGTGGTCACTTGTTCCACGATGAATGTGTACGCAAGTAGGACCCTGTGAAGGCCTCAGCCGTGCTGCTGGTCAACTTTGAGTATGTTCCTCAGATGGATAGCTCTAGCCCACGTCCCAGCATGCCCATTGTGTCGGTCCTGTCTGTTGGTGGGTCTTCTGCTACTATCATCTCAGCCACCTGCCTCTCCTCAGCCGCTACCTCCTATAATGTGATTATAGCAGCTTGAAGCCGACCCTCTCCTCCTCCTAGTTGTCGTAGTGTGTGTATGATCGTATTAGACTAATTATATTTTTCCTCATCCAGGCATACCATGCAGCCTGTATTGGTTACCTCGTAGTAGCTAACTTTTTTCAACAACGCACGAGTGAGTTCAAAGTCAATGGCGTACCCGTGGGTAATCCTGAAGGTTCTCCTTTCCATATCATCATAGCTAGTCATTGTTATCACCACTCGTTGTGTCATGGTGGTCATAGCCACTCTAGCGTTTCGTGTGCTTCGACACAGGTTCAGCTTGAAGACACGCCTGACTATTCAGATCACTTGTTCACCGTCTCGTAGGGACATTGGGCTCATTTCGACATAATTCTCCAAGTCGTTTCTCGTTGTATTGTTCATGGTATATGGTCTCTGCTTGTGAGTATGATTTCAGTTTGTTTTGGTATTCCGCATGGACGCTTCTACTAATTCGATGGACTCCTCCGTTCCCGATATTGTCATAATGTCAGTGAGCTTGTTCATGGCCCTTAGTCATCTTGGTTTCATTCTATATGTAGCCATCTCAACTAATAGCCCCCCCTGCGTTACATAAACAGTCTGCAGGTACGGATTACTCGAGATGACGACGAAATGGACGATTTCCTCACTGATAAGCACAAGTCGAGTAGCGAGACTACTACTACCACCGCAGCAGAGGAGGTCTGTGATGATGACTATATTAATTTGACCAAGTCCGATTCCCTCGAAATCGAGGGAGGGCTTGGCGGCTTCCACTTTGGGGACTCCCCGATGCCTCCTACAGGAGGGTATTATCTTTTCCTCATTCCCTCGTCCGAGGAAGTGTAATTTTATTTTGCAACTTTTTGGAATCAGCAGTCCCAATGACTGGTCTCGTCGACGAGTCGGTTACTCGTGGTAGTTGTCCAAGGTATTCTTAGTGTGTTTTCAGTGGTCATAACTGTTCTTGTGTTCGCATTCCAAGAATGCATGAGAACGGCATTCACCAACTTGTCGTCCTTTTTTTTGCTGTTTTCCGATGGATACTTCCATCTCGACTATCACTGTACCATTATTACCAGACACTATCAGCGTGCGTCGTAAAGAGCGACTTTTTGGCCACAATTACAGTACATTTGGAGCACCCCTGGTCCACTCTAGTGGCCTTAGAAAGTGGGTTTGTGGTGCCCTGCTGCTTTTCGTGTTGGTTATTGCTGGGTATTTGGTTTGCATCAGAAAGGTTGACGGCTACACGGATCATCAAAGCAGCATTCCTGCAAGTATGGGATGTCGTCTTGTTCGGTAGTCGGCTGTGCTGGTTGTAGGTGCTGACACTGCTCGATTGACATCTCTGAGGGTGAGCGCGGCTGCCTTCTCTGCCCCACCTCAAGAGAGAAGCGTTGTTTGGGTTACGGGTTATCAACCATTTGAGGACTTCACCTTCAACCCATCGGAGGCTGTTGCAAGTGAGTCTTCATGGTTTCTGGATGACATCAGAACAGGCCGCTTTCCATACTGTACCAATAAGGATGTTGATGTCTCAGAGTCCCTCAACGGAAGCTGCACCTCTCACTACTGCATCCAAGCGTTCAGTCTACCGGTTACGCACGGTGGCGCGTCTCAACCGGCTCGTTGGCTCAGAGAGGCCGACGTACACAAACCAGCAGCAATTGTTCACCTAGGGTTGGAGGATAGAGCAAAGGGACTTAAACTCGAGGTCGCGGCCAAGAATGTAGCTCGATTTCCCGATGCTATTGCATTGACTATACGGACTGTCAGATCCTTGCTGAAAGTAACTCATCTCTTCCCATCCTCCCTAATGTTACCTCTATTCTCCCCTCAACCGCCAACCTCGGCTTGGTCAATGGTATTGATTCTGATGAGATGTGGAGTGTCGATGCAGGAAGCTTCTACTGCAATGAGATCTACTTCAGAACTCTTTCAGAAATCCGAAGTCGAAACTTGAATGTAGACTAGAGCGGCCGATTCCTCATGCAACATGGTTTTCGGCAGATACCCGCCATTTTCGTGCATCTCCCTGAGCCCACGGTGATGTCTTTGGAAGAGGATGGTCGGCTGATCAGGCGTTTGATCTCACAACTCCTCGCAGTGGATGTTCGTGTTTGAGGAACCCATGGCTACCATGTTTGAAAAGCAGCAAGTTGTCTCTTCTCATTATTATAACATCGCAGAGATGATTACGTAATCAGTAGTTCTTACTTTTTATCATTGAGTTTCGATACTGACGTGACTCGTTGCATTATGATAGTGTTGGGTCGATCATTCCATGCTGTGGATTGGCTTACATTCGGTCCGCAATGGCGGCAATGGTGCACTGGGCTCCGCTTGAGCCCAGTAAATTGCACTACAACTCAACTGTAATCTCGTCACACCAGCATATGCAACACTCGTAAGAAATCGCTCCGCTCATTATTCAATCTCCATGCATTGATCTCTATCATACTTCCACCCGTCCGGTATGCTACGTTTAATAAGAAGTCTTTACTCCAGTTCCATCGCCCCCAGGCAAACCCCCCTGTAAACCTGTACGCCTTCACTCACAGAGTTAAGGTATTCCCACGACCCCTTCAGGTCGCCATAGTGTGCATCACCACCGGAACATAAGCTGCCAGTTCAGATCGCCGATACTGCATGAATTTCCATTCGAATGGTTTAAGACTGAGGAAGATGAGCCTATTCTATGTCCGGAGAAGGAAAAGTCCTATCCCTTGCAAAGTGGAAATTCTGCTATCGACCATTTACCATGCTGTCACTAAAAACGTCGGCCTTTCGAGAAAAACTATACACCTCTACTCCGTTTCCCCCTGACAACATACGCCTTGAAGAATTGCATGCTAAACTACTGCAATCCAAGCCCTCCAAACCTCAGTTATCTACCACGAATCAGCTCCACCATATTATTCAACTCCCGATGTACTCTCCTCTGTGACGGGTTGAACGACAGCATTCTCATTCACACGTGCCGTGTGAACCACACGGTGTGATGCGGTAGGTCGACATGATATGCTTTTATGGGCCTCTCTGAGCCTAACAAGTGCGTATCGTTAGCTCGGCTAATAGATGTACTTGCAGTTACTTTTGAGTTGTGTCAACGAGGTAACACCGCCTTTCCCCCTCTACCTAATAATACCTCTTTTACCGAGCCCATCCCCGTACATCTGCACTACAAGTCAGGAATGACCGCTAACACTGCCCTACTCACGAAAGGCATCTATAGCACTGTCACGCGGGAGTCCACTATGGCGTGTCAGAGTTCACTTGTGTTGCCACATATTATCCACGTCTCGAACCGATAAAGTCTCTCCTGCCCCTCAGGGCTACTACTGCCATAGTAGAAGGATAACGTCATCAAAGACTACAACACGACTGTGGGGAAATGCTCCGTAGATGAAGAACAATGTATCACAGAAACGTACATGCACACAGTTCGCGTTCACCTCCGTTGTGTAGGCGGCATACGGGTAGCTGGCCGACTCCGGTCGATAAGGGCGCCCCTATTAGGGAGAGGTCGAGCTGGGTATGCTGGCAATGGGAAGTCTGCCCATACGAAATTAGCAAATATAAAGTCATCGTGCGGTACTCTTAGTATGTACGAAAGTTGCCTGAAGAGAATCGCCTATTATCAGTAGCCTATTTCCAAGCCAGTGATAACTACCTCACAGTGTACTTGGTCAAAAGCAGTAGTCGTTTGTCGTCCTTCTGTATTTCACCACTATGGATATTAGCATGGAGTTGCTAAGACACCAACGCTGAGGTGGTCCTGAGCCCCCAACGGCAACTACCTCCTGCAGCCGGGCAGCGAGTATATCTCCCCTTCGTAAGGCCCTATCCAGAGCAACGCAGCCACCATAGCTGTACCTGACAGAATCACCACACTCGGTGGCGGGCCTGAGGCCATATGCTACTCCATGGTATTCCTCAGCTCTGAACTGAAACGGTAGTCAGGTACTCTTTTGATGAGCAACCACGTTTTAGGCAGCACCCATATGTGTTCGAAAAAATAGTAGTCCATTCGGTCGTCGCCTATTTGCAGCTGAGATTGATGCATAAACACCCCTTGAACCGACGCGGCTGCTATTATAGGGTACCATTTTCTGATGGAATATCCAAGCATGCAGAGTTAACCAATACAACTGATGATTGAACCCCATAGTGATCCCGAATGCCTCCATCAAGGGCTTATTCTCTAGCCTCTCTAGTACCAACCTAAACAGCTTCTCAGTAGTCTTGGCTCGGCCCGACCTCCACCAAAGCCAGTCCCCTATGGGCTAACAGCAACACTAATGTTCCCAGCAGGCATACGTCGCTATCTTACTTTTGGCAGCCAGTCCATGAGGAGCCTCGCAGGGGGTTTGGTGGGGATGAGGAAATCTCTCACCTGAGCATGGCACCAACTCGGGACATTCCCTCACGGCCAGGACGGGCCACCTCTTTCTCGCCGACATCACAAATTGGATCAGAAACGATCATCGCTGACTGATACTGTAACTTAGTCAGCTCCTCCTGTGTAATAACGTCCTCTGTCTAAATGCCGGTTTACCCATAATAACCGGCGGTTGGTCTATGACTACCTCAGTGATAGTCTGGCCTTTACGCATGAGTGCGGTTCGGCGCTGTAGGGGCCGACCTAGGCCCACAGCAGCCCGAGGCCCCCTAGGGATGTTAGCAATAGCCCGTAGGGCCATGTGACAAGCTTAAATGTAGCAAGCCTCGAGAATAGATGACAGAAAATGGCGGCACTATGGGAGTGCGGGCACCTCCACGGAAAAGTTCGACAACTGCACACTCCTGTCAATAACCTCTACCAGAGTTCGAACCCGGGTGACTCGTGGATGATCTTACCATTACGCCAGTAAACCTTCTAAAGCATCATACTCCAACTCGTCCCACCTGACCGCGAGAACAGCAGACCTTCTCCATCTTGAACACTCGGAGCTCTTGCATATCCTCAGGCACCTTTTCCATCCAGCTCAATCCGGTTATAAATTTTCCTCTTCGGGGCACTAACTCTTCTTCGGTGGCACAGCGCCACGTCTCCCGCCGGCTGAAGATCATCTTCAATGCTCTTGCCCAAGTTGGGGTTTTCTCGTTGAATATGTGAGCGTCAGCTTTCATTTGTATAACCCGTCATTGTCCCATCGGTTGAATGCAAATAGATCGACTGCAGCAGCTACAGGATGCTGCACGAGAGCGGGGGATCATCGTCAAGGTAAGCTCCCTCCTCATTGCCCTTCACTATTGCCCTGTTCAGGTTCACATACTTGGTGTAGCAGGAGCTGCAGCGGCGACCTCAGCAGCAACAACGGCTGCTGCTGCTGACATCAAGGCGAGCCCAGTGTTCGATGCCTCGTCAGCAGCGCCGACTGACTATGAGACGCAGGAGAGCCCAGTGCAGGGACAGCGGGTCGGCACTGGTAAGCAAAGAGGAGATGCCGAGTTGTGGGAGGATCGACTGTGCAGGAACGGAGGTAGCAGCCTTCCTGGGTGTATCTTGGAAGGCTACTGAAGCTAAAGCAGAGGCCGATAAACGTCAGTCTATGGACGAGTTCTATGCACAGGCTGGTAGGAGGGCTAGGGCTTGGGGCACTAGTCGTAACGATGTTGATGTAGGGGAGGTCCAACGTGGTCTCGGCCTGATTAACAAGAATCTCGACCTGTTGGATCAGAAACGAATAGATGTCATTAACGCTACCAGTCAGCAACAAGAGCAAGGTTAGTGTACGTAGTGTGTCCAGGGCCTACAGCTGCTTCGTCTCAGCTATACGGGACAGTGTTGATGAGATTGTCAGCGACGTCAACCGGAGCATGGTGGGAACCAAAAAGAAGGTGAGTGCCGATGCCCGTATTGTCTGATTTGGTGACAGTACTTGAGGTGATATCATTTCGGTCAGATAGAAGCTATGGGAGAATCCACCAAAACGTTCGAGACTAAATATGCGTCTAAATGTCACATTGCGTCGGAACTCCGCATACGTAACGGGATGGAGCAGGCCGGCCTACGACGGCTAAATGAATATGTAGTACTCATCCAAGTCGTCTTGTGGAATGTCGGTCATCACTCCAGTTGAAGCGTTTCCAAAAACTACAGTCGGACTTTAACAGCGACATTCGGGAGAAAGCTCTTCGGCAACTTGCCATCGCGGTCCCTGCTGCAACAGAGGCCGAGGTACTAATACAGCGCCTGTTGATAAGCTAGGTAGAGGGTGTGTGGTAGAGGGAGGCTATGGTTGATGAAGGAGTGCAACCACAGGAACAGTACTTCCGGTCCACGCAAGATAGGATCACTAAGCTGCAGGGCCTCAGGGATAGGTGAGCCCCTCGGTGTGCGTATGGTTACCGACCCTTTCAAGGGTAGATATGAATCGATTCAAAGATTGGAGCAGTCGATTCAAGAAGTAAATCAAATGATGATCGAACTTGCGGTACGTTGAGGCTCTCACTGATGCTTTCATGGATTCGTCGTCTTTCAGTTGGTCGTGGAACAACAAGGGGAGATGCTCGATTCTATAGAGTTTAACGTTGTTAACACTAAGAACAATGCTGGTGAGTTAAGTCCATCAACGAATAACTGTTAGTAATTCCACTATATTTAAGCGCGTACGGAACGAGCCTTGATCAAGGGCCGCAAGAGGCAGCGACGTAACCTGTGGATCAAACTGTGTATATGCGTCTGCTGTGTGGTTTGCATCCTGGCCCTGGTAAGCTGAAAGGGTCTCGCTGTCAGCATTACATCATGTTCAGGTGTTGGGCCTTTTATCCTACTTCAAGGTGTTATTCCCCTCGAATAGTAGTACTAGTAGGTGATGATGATGATCACTATTATATTTTATACATGTTTTGTAAATTGACAACTTCACCAATTCTATCATCAAATTGAAGCGCTAAATGGGCGACTCCTTCCTACCGCAGTACTGTCACTCTGCTTGCCTCACTCAACCATTGTATTTGTTTCCGACTATTAAAACCTCTGGTTGAGCTGTACCCCCTTGCTCACTAGATATCAACGCAGCAATGGGACACTACGGTAACCAGTAGGTAGTTTACGGTACATGCTGTTGAGCTCAAGGGATCGACTATTATAGTGGTTATTTTAGCACTTGTCCGCAGCTGATGCTGTTCGCCCGATTCGGTCCCAGAGCCACCAGAGCCTTTTCTAGCTACTACAAGTCGGCTCATCAGGAGACTCCGCTTACCTACTACCGTGCCACGCAGCACGCGACTTCATCGATTAACCATCGGTTGGCCTACATCAACGCGTAAGTGCTGCCGTACCGCGAAGTATTACCTTCTTATGGGCCTAGGGTTTTCGTCATCTGGGTATGTGACTCGTTGAATGCCATGGTGGATTGGTAGCAGCCTCTGAAGGGACAGCGATGAAGACCCACATGTTGGTATAAGTTTTCAGTGCCTTTATTCAACCGAATATTGTGTTGGTGAACTCCGTGAAGAGTTTGTTATCAGCAGTTAAGAGTTTGTTTACTCCTTATTCCCGCTACACTATGTCCGGTGCCGGTTCTATGATCGCCTTGGGCCCTTTCTTCGCAATATGTCAAGGCTGCGGCGTGTCAATGCAGAAGGGCCTCTTATCTCTGTTGAAGCAAGTCGGTATAACGTACGCTGTCAACGCTTTCGTGCGCTATAGTGTCAACAATATGCTGCCCGAGGGCTTCTATGAGACTTATCCATGGGGCCCTGCCTTGGAGCTAATGCTCTCTTGTTTGGACCTGCTGGGTATGGTCCAAATCATATTCTATTCAGACTGCCTCAAGGTGGGCTTCGACGATGATGCGCGTCGAGCACTAGCTGTTGGAGTTACTTGGGCAACCTTGGAGGTCATTCGCTACAACTACAACTGGGGTCTCACCGTAGAAATGCACCAGTCAAAGCTAGCGGTCTTCACTCCGTCAACTCTCAACAGCAACATTGTTCTTGCTGGTGACGTGTCACTGGCTGTCGGCATTTGGTTGACCTACAAGTTCGGTCGTGAACTACTTCCTCTCGCTGTAGTGTTCTTATCTGTATTTGTTCTCCCCGGCTTGAGCATTTATCTTCGCGCGGCTTTGGGTATGCACGACTATGATAACGAGTTCATGGGCATTGTTATGACAGTCGCCGGTCTGATATCACTGTTCGCGTACTGGGTGTGGGCCAAGTACTATCCGGAGGGGTCGGCTAAGCAAGCGGAGCTCGACGAGATAGCCGAGGAGAAGCGTCAGAAGGAGGCTCTTGCGAAGGAAGAGGAGACCAAGTCTGGCGATATGGTTCCTCAGCGTCGAAGCAAGAAAGCAAGGGCAGCGGCGGCTAAGAAGAACAGACATGATTGAGTGGAATGAACGAGGCTGAATGAAAGTTTATGTTCCATCCTTATTGATCTAATGAGTACTGTACAGTATACTCGATTGGTCTGTGTTGTAAGAGAGCTCGAGTGCTCGTGAGTGGACCCTATGGATGGGGTCATGCCCAATGCCGGTTGTGATAGTGTGGTGATGGCACTGTGACAGAGTCGATGTTCGAATTTGATAATACCACTGAGAATCTGTCTATTGTATCCTGACTTGAGTAGATTGTGAGAACCGGTACGTATCCCAAATTATCAGCCGTTACATTCCCTTTCGGTAATTCATTGAAAACAATACGTAAAAAGTCGGTAAAAGAGTCCATTTTTTTCGAAAGAAATGGATGAATTATGGATGATTCAGGCAAACTTTAAATCGACCTTGATATGCTACAGACATGGTGCGGATTCCTCCTCTGAACTCTCGACTTGAGGCTGATCACGTGACTCACGTGACGTGCGACAGGGCACCATACTGTAGGCTGCTCCAGTACGTTCATAAGATACAGTTTTATCGTGCTATAGAATTACTTATTCCAACGAAGAGTATGAGAAGGATATTTTTCATACTCGGTCATTCGACAGACATTCCGACCTGTTATCGGCATTCCCGCTGAGCACGAGTATTGTACGAGGTCCCTGATTTAGCATTCGCGTTATCGTTGCTTTGAAGTGAGAATGAGGACCGCCCTACGAGGGTATCGCCATGCGGCTTGTTGGGGATTCTTGAACGACGCTTAGATATGCAGAAACTCTGATACGGGCTGGTGGTGTTGAATCAGTGAGGGTGATCGGTGCTCTATGAAAGTCTCCTTGAGGAGTTGACCAGTCTGATATAACATGACATCGCTGTCGGCAACTCTCGGGGACCCTACGAGCCTCCTAGCAGCAAAAATGGAGGCTTTGAGTATGCGAATGAGCAACCTTGAGAATCTTTTTCTCCCCAGTGCAGACAATTCAGCATCAGCACATCCATTAGCTCTTTTGAGTAAGTTCAATACGAGTAATCATAGGAAGCTCTTCTCCCTCCTAGATAACTAACACGTACCAGTTTCAACACGGTGGTAGGTACGATGAACAAATCTCTCTCGGAGTGTTTGAATTTGATCGACAAGACCGAGAACGAGTTGCGAGACGAAATAGATCAAACGAAAAACGAAGTCAGGGCAATTATAGATTCTAAATTCAAGGTGAATAACCATGAATCGGGAGTATCCAGAACATCTTGAAACACATTCTGCTCAGAATACTCATGCTGCCTTGAGCGACACTATTGCCAGGATTGATTCACTAGAAATGGCTCGGTCCGGAGACATGGAGCGGTGGGGGAAAGCAATGGAGGATGTAGACCAGCTCAAACGCAGTGAAGAACTACAGGTGGATACACTCTTTGAGCTTTGGTATTACGTAAGTTGGCTCGAACTTTGATCGCAGATTGAAAAGAAGACAGAGGAACTAGGCAAGCAAATAACCGAACTCCAGCGAGATAACGAGAAGCTCCGCGATGAAGTGTGCGATATCCGCATCTTTCCATTAGAACTCCAACCTACAGGTGAAGGCTCTAAGAGATACGTGCAAAAGTCTGGATAAGCGCTTCGCTTCCAAAAGCTCTGTAGAGAAGATCAAGGGGCGTGTCGACCTCATAGACAGCATTGCACGCAAGTCGGATCAATTTGAGAGCTCCATAGAATCGGTAGGTCGTACCCGCTGAGAGCGATGACAATAACGTCTCGTATTCGTGAATGAATGGTGTCCACCGTTGTAGGTCCACGCGCAGGTTTCTGAGTTGAGTAGCAGGTTATCAGAGACCGAGAGGAACAACAAAAACGAGGCCGAGTCAGTTCGTACCAACTTGGCTGCAATGCAGAGCTCCATCTCCACAGATTTGAACGCTCTCCAGCTAAGATTTGAGGAATTCCACAGTGTGAGTCTTCATGAGGATTTGCATCATAAAACACCAATCGTCAGAGTCGGCACCATCCAGTGTTCAGCGAGCAGCCGCAATTCGACAACGAATCACTAGGCGCTGAGGCCTTACCAGGTGTGGCGAGCTTACAGAAAATGAGCTTGGCAGTGAAAAAGATCACCCGTGGTCATCAGAATGAGAATTCTCATGGGAATTAGGATAAACACTTTTCTACAGTTTTGAGTGATATGCGTTGAATTATGTGCTACAGTACAGGGTGGCAAACCACATTACCGGGGCATCGGAATATCATCTGAAAACACCCCAGGTGAGAAAACAGCTCTCTGTGAGCTAGACAGATGTCTCGTACAGCCTGGAGCTGTCACTCGCAGTGTTCCCGTCTTAAGTTCAGTGTGAAGATTTTATGATGGGTGCCGGCACGCAATGCTTCGAAGTGCACTCCAGATTAACTCGAGACTTCTCAATAATAATCCCCGAAAATTGACTACTTCGTGTATGTACCCCGATGCGGGATCCAATAGACAATTAAATAATGTTGCACTACTAATAGATAACCTAACGTAATTTACTATGATAATCAACAATTACGCCCGAAGCATCTCCGGTAGTCCGTCGTCAACCATGAGAATGGCATCAGACTGAGAGTGTAAAATCCTAAGCGAGTGCCTTCACTGCCAACCCTCGACTTTATCGACTTCATAAGTTCTATTGCTTCCTTAGGCGACCACGAGCCGAGCTCGTTAGCTCCTGTAGGGTTGGTACAAGTTCCAGTATTCAACGGATACATACAACCACTTGAACCGGTGTGCCTTGGTGACCAAATCAGCGCAGTGTCGTCAGCATATCGGCGCGTGTCCGTCCGGGGTATTGGAGACTCTCCTGAGATGCTCGAGAGGAGGAAGTCGGACATATCCTGGACCTTATCCTTCCTGCTCATGAACTCTGATGAGTTACCATTATACGCATCAGCAGAGGGCACCCAAAAATCTACGAGAAAAGACAAATACATGTTGACAGAATTACCATAAGAGTTCTTGACACCATTTAGAGTACCAAGGCCGACTGCCAGGCCGAGCTTGAGGACACCTCTGGCAGCTGTTCCCTGGTTGATGATCGCTGGCAAATCCCCGCTACTGATCGCGATACCGTCAACCACAACTCCGACAATCATTCGGGCTTCCATAAACGCGTTCCAAGTGGTGGCGAATTGATAGAGGCAGACCATTACGTTGGACTGACCCGTACACACCGTTGACCACGTCCCGTCAGTCGGTATTGCACTAATCCACAAGCTCGTACCACTCTTCTCCAGTTCTTGCAAAAGCGAGCGAAAATCCTGGCCGCCTCCAGCAGTAGTGCTCTCGCTTACCTTCGTCACATTCCCCTCCACCCAGTTTTTCAACATATCTCCGGTTACTAGTAGCACTAGATCGCTGACTCGAACGTTGAGGCAATTACTACCACCACTGAACGCTGGTAGATGGTCCGTCAGAAAGGCCCGGGGACTACCGGCCGACATACTCGGCCAGTCCGAGAAGAGCACAACGTTAGAGGTCACTTCTGATGGAGTGCTGCTTCCTGAGCACTGGTTCGAGCTGGGTGTCGTTGTAGGACCAGTCGGGGGTGGGGGCTGAGTGGGAGTAAACCCCCCACCAGTAGGGCTAGGGGGCCTTATGTTGGGTGGCGACCGAGTACCACATCCTGGGATAGTTAAGATCACCACAAGGATGCAGAAGGCAGCTACCGCCCAGCTCCTGGAAAAATGCCGAAACATTATACACGATTAACTTACTG